ATCGGTTGCGCTCAGCTGAGCACTATGCGAAGCGATTGCTTAGTAAATCGGATCAAGGTAAAGTCTTCGAGGTGTCGTCGCGAGTGCCAGTGAGCAATCACTTCGTTCGCAGCGGCAGCTTCACCCGCTTCGCCGATTGGCACTTTATACATCGAGCTCGTCTCGATGTCCTTCCCCACAACGGCATTGGGGACGGCGACAAGCGTTATCGGCGTTGCGGGGAAGTATCGGAGACCTTACCACATGTGCTCGGTCACTGCGGCGTCCATGCTGCCGCAATACAGCTGAGGCACAATGCCGTATTGCACCGCCTCTGGAAGGCTTGCCGTCTGCCCGGTGACAAACGAGTCAACCAGCGGATTGAGGGCATCGACGGGAAACTTGGGGGGCTACGACCTGATCTTGTGGTCAGGCACGAGCTCTCCAAGAGTGTCGTCATATGCGATGTTACGATGTCCTTTGAAAACCGCTGGATGTCTTTCGAGGAAGCCAGGAGGAGGAAAATCGCCAAGTACTTTCCCCTGGCTAAGGAACTCCAGCGGTGGGAGTACCGTGTCCTCGTGACGGCCTTCGTCGGTGCTCTCGGGTCGTGGAATCCGAGAAACGAGGCCTGAGGGTGCTGCGGATAGGCGATCCGTATACCTCGATGATGCGGCGGTTGATCGTCTCGGATACCATCCGCTGATCTAGGGACATCTACGTGGAGCACGTGTCCGGCATCCGCCAGTATCAAGCTCCCTCTTGCCCCGCTGGCGATGGAAATGCTCGCGACGCCGCCTCGGGCCGTCCGCCGGCGCTGGATCGTCGCTGATGAAGAAGTTGCGACGCGCTGCGTATATCCGTGAGTGTGAATACCGCATAACTTATTTTTGTCTTCGTCTTGGCCTTCCCTTATCTAAGCGGGCAGGACTGGCCAATGTCCGCATTTTAGTACAGCCGTTTTTCTAATTTATTTTTATCATTTTAATTATTTGTATATATTTTTTTCTTTATTATTTTTATTTTTTTATTTTTTCTTTATTTTTATTATTTTTATTATTTTTATTATTTTTTGTGAGCTATGTGGACTCCTGCCCGCCTCCTTCTCAGGACACTTTTTTATTTATATACTTATTTATTTCGCCAATTTTATTGCCCGGGCCGTTGTTATTTTAGATCTCTTTTTTGTTTTGTTAGTCTCGTTTCTTTTATTATGTTTTTATTTGTATTTATTTATTTATTTTTTATGTATTTTTATTTATTTCTATTGTATTATTTT